TCGAAAGCCTGGTGTCTAGGCTAGCTCACCAAACAGGCAAATCCAGTCAAATTAGCCCAACTTCATCTGACTTGCAGACATGAGAGTAAGAAAAATATCTGCTATTTTAAACCACTGGGAATATTGTGCTGCGTTGTTGCTCTAATAGCAGACTGGTGTGTCCCTTTAGAATGCAGATGTCAGCACAGGGAGTTTGAATTGTGCTCACTGCTGTGTGCTGTCAATGAGTAAAACAGTGCCTAGCATGTTAATATTTATTAGTAAATAACTTATAATATTTTAAATACTTTATGTAAATAATCATATTGTTGGATATTAATAATTAATAAACATACCTAATATTTATAGATTCTATAATAACATGTTATGCTAAGAAACATTTGCTGAATAAATTAATCAATGCATTTGGCCTAAAACCATAAATCTACTGGTGATTTTAAAGGACAAGTCAAGTGTGCAAAGAAATAATTATAATTGATTCTGTTTTATGTATAGTCAGTTAGAAGTAGATACCGCTTTATATAGATCCAAGTTTCAGATCTGCATCATTTTTCTTCTCTCTGAAGAACTTTAAAATTTTCTTCTCAGACAGATCTAGTGACAATAAACGCCCTTAAGTTTTGTTTGTTGGGGAGTTTTTATTTTTCCTTTACTTGTGAAGGAATTTCACAGGATACAGAATTCCAGCTTGGTGTTTTTTTCTCTCAACATTTTAAATATTTCACTTTTGTCTCTTCTTGCTTTTATGAAATTTTTAAAGGATTTTATTTATTTGTTTTTGTGTGGAAGAACCAGGGTGCAGGCCAAAGGTGTGGGGGTGAGAGGATTCACCAGAGACAGAGTGGGGAGCAGAACAGGCAAATCTACTGGGATGCACTGCTGAGGGGAGCAGCAGACAAGACAGGAGAGGTCTGCTGCATCACGTGAGTCAGCTCCCTGGCTGGGGAACTGAGGCTGTCCTGGTGATAGTGCTGATGCTTAACCCCCAGGGAGGCCCCACTTTTATGATTTCTGATTGGAAGTCAGATGTACTTCTTTTATTTCCTCCTTTGTAGGTAAGTTGTTGCTCCCCTCTTCCCCCCCCCCCCCATCCTGGCTTTTTCAAGAACTTTTATTTACCTTTGATTATCTGCCATTTAAATATGATATGGCTAGATGTTGTGTGTCTTATTTTGTTTTATTTTGTTTTGGTCATTTATCCTGATGGGTAATCTTTGAGCTTCCTACGTCCATAGTTTGCTGTCTATCATTAATTTGGAGGAAATTCTCAGCCATTAATTTGCTTCAAATATTTCTTCTGTTCTCTTTCTTCTCCTTCTAATATTCCCATTACATACACGTTGCACCTTGGAAGTTATTTCACAGTTGCATTATTTTCAGTCTTTTATGTCTATGCATTTCCATTTTTTAAAAAAGATTTATTTATTAATTTATACAAGCACTGGGTACAGTCAGAAGCGCGGGAGGGTGAGAGAATTCACCAGAGCCAGAGCAGGGAGCAGAGCAGGCAGAAGGACCAAAGTGCACTACTGAGGGGAGCAACGGGCGGCAGGAGAGGTCTGCGCGCCATGTGGGACCCTTCTCTGGTGGCCGGGGAGCAGCCGGGGATTGAACTGGCGCCGGAGGCCGCAGGCAGCTTCGCAACCCAGCGCTCAACCACCGCACCACCGGGGAGGCCCTGCATTTCCATTTTTAAAGTGTCTATTGACATATTCTCAAGCTCAGAAATTCTTTCCTCAGCTGTGCCTGGTCTATTAATAGTCCGTGAAAGGCATTCTTCATTTGTATTATAGTGTTTTTGATCTCAACCATTTCTTTTTAATTTTTTCTTATGATTTCCATCTCTCTGCTTACATTGTACATCTGTTTTTGCATGCTGTCTATTTTACTCATTAGAACCTTTTGCACATTAATCATAGTTGTTTCAAATACCCGGTCTGATAATTCCAACATTCTGACATGTCTGAATCTGGTTCAGATGCTTGTTCTGTTTATTCAAATTAAGTTTTTTGCCTTTTAGTATGCCTTGTGATTTTTCTTTTTTTTTATAGCAGGACATGATGTTCTGGTAAAAAGAAATGTGGTAAATAAACCTTTAGAAATGTGGTAATAAACTTTGCAGGGAGGGGAAGTGTTTTTATATTTCTATGATATTTTTGCAGTCTTTCCGTCAGTCTGTGTCTCTGAACTGTGAACTTCATGAGTGCTCATTCACTTGCTTTACATCGTGGGACAGGCGGGCTGGAGGAGACTGGAGTCACACAGCTCCCCTCCCAACAGGGAAGGTTAGAGCAGGCTGGAGTTAGATATTTCCTTTCTCCCAGGTTGGTTAATATCTAATGAAATTCTAGTAGTTTGAGCTCTGTAAAGCATTTCTTTTCAGGACAGGCTGTGTTAAGAATAGAATGCTCTGGTGCTCAAACTGGTCCCTCACCCTACTGGAAGCGTGAGTGAATTTTTCTGATAATCATCCTGAGAATGTGTTCAAACTTTGGAGATAAAATTCAGTCTTTCAGACTTATCCACACTGACTTTCTAGTAATTTGTCAATTACAGTTCAGCTTTTCCTACTTCTGTAATGACTCCTATGGAGGTTTCTGCTCTAGAAAGTTGTGGTTCTCTGTAGTGACATTTTTGTCTTCCTGAATTGGGTACCACAGTTTCCCTTAGGATCTCACTTCTCTGAGGATTTGATGTTATTAATATAATGGAGTGTGACTCCAAGCTCCAAGCATGCCAGACTAGAAATCAGAAGCCCACTCTTTGTCATTTTATCTTTTTATTTTCATACAGTCATGAAACATTTCCTGAATCATAATGATGTTCCAAGCACTTTGCTAGATGTTGAGAATGCACAGCTGAATGGGCTATGTTCTTATTCCTAAAGAAGTGCACAGACCAGAAACAGATCTGGACAAATTGCACTAGTATATGATAAAAGTTATGAAAGGGGTAAGCGCAAAGTGCTGTAGGAACATAATGTCTGGGACTGAAGTTTGGATTCAAAGAAAATTTTCCCCAAAATGAGCCTTGACTAATGTGAGCCAAAAAAAGATGAGGTGGGAGGTGTGATAGCTACTACATACAAGGTAGGTACCATTTGTGCCATGTGCAAAGGAAAGACCATGGTGGGTTTAGGAAACTGAAAAAAGAATAAAATAGTTTGGAGCTGAAGGAGGGGAGGGAGAGAATGACCTACAAATCACAGGCTTTCTTCTCCATGACAATAAGAATGAGAAGGAAACAGATGGTTTGCTCAAAGTGGTTAATCTGTGAGAGTTAAGGGATTATCTATGAAGTCCCATTTGAGCTGAAAAGGATTTGAGAAAACCATTAGTGGAAGTGTCATTTTCTTTTTTTTTTTTTTAAGATTTTATTTATTTATGCATACAAGAACTGTGGTACATGCCAGAGGTGCGGTGGGGGTGGTGGGTGGGGTTGGGGGGAGTGTGGGGGAGGTGAGAGGATTCACCAGACACAGAGTGGGGAGCAGAACAGGCAGATCCACTGAAATACACTGCTGAGGGGAGCAGAGAGCAAGACAGGAGAGGTCTGCTGCACTATGTGGGTCACCTCCCAGGCCCAGGATAGAACTCAGTAGCTGAGATTGCTTCATAGTGCTGACGTTTAACCTCTTGCGCCACCAGGGACACCTTGGGAAGCATCATTTTCATTCTGAAGCCTGATCCCTTAAGGGGAAGGAACAGTTACCACACAGAAGAGTGGCTCTATGGAGAAGGCTGACTATCAGAGTGTTCCCTTAGGTAAAGAGACACAGATACTACTCAACTATCTGCTAAGGAGACAACCAGTGAATAAACATACTGCTCTCTGGACCTCTGGACCTGCTGTCCATGCTTGCCATTGATAGTCCTCAATGAGAAGCTGGATGCAAGGGAACCCACTGATGAAGTCCATGTCAGCCTGCCTCTTTGAATGAGGATGGAGAGTGGCTCTAGAGGGACACATGGAAGATGTCCAAGTGCATCACTCCACCCTCACTACCTAACACAACTCCTGGCATTAGGAGATACTGAATGATTGAATGAGTTTAGTGAGCAAGCAGAAACCTGATCTGGCTGGATTTAACCAACTCACTAAACAAGTTAGGACTTTATCTCATAGAAGTGGGGAACAAGCAGAGGATTTTAAGTAGTTTTAAGCAGAGATACAATCAGATTTGCATTTAGGGGCATCGATCTTGGTAAGTCTGTAGAGAATGAACTGAAGGACAGCAAGCCAGGTAGCCGAGAGGCCAAGTAAGAAGCTTACAGAGGGCCTCCCCGGTGGCGCAGTGGTTGAGCCCTGGGCTGCGAAGCTGCCCACAGCCTCTGCAGCACCTGTTCGATCCCTGGCTGCTCCCCGGCCACCGGAGGAGGGTCCCACATGGAGCGCAGACCTCTCCTGCTGTGCTAACTGCTCCCCTCCGCAGTGTACTTTGTCAGTCTGCCTGTTCTGCTCCCCGCTCTGGCTCTGGTGAATTCTTTCACCCTCCCGCACTTCTGACTGTACCCAGTGCTTGTATAAATAAATAAATAAATCTTTAAAAAAAAAAAAAAAAGAAATGTACAGAAAATCCAAGACAGAGAGGTCAAAAAGATAATCTAAGGAAGTGGAAATAAATACTAGATGTCTAGAGAACGAGAAAGGGTGGAATTTGCAGGACATTATTGTGATTAGCTGGTGGAAAATAAGAAATTAACCAGTATTTGACTTTCTCTTTCTGATTTATTTTGCTTAGCATAATCACCTCAAATCCTGTCCATTTTGTCATGGAAGGCAAGATTTCACCTTGTGGAAACAGCTAAATATTAGTCCACTGTTATTCCACTCATTCCTTGGGTGAGCTGTGTCTGTGTAAAACTTGGGTTCAGCAAGCACATTGCTGTAGGTATCTGGAGCTTAGCAGAGACCTGGGCCAGAGAAAGGGATTGAATGACATCTGGCAAATGAGACAGATACTGTAGCCGTGTTGTGGTCTGTCCCCTGGGTGGGGGAGGGGCAGGAAAACTTGTTAGGGTCCCTTGGGTTCGGTTCTATGGCAGTTGAGAAGAGCAATGCACCAGAAGCTAGGATGGAAAGAAGGGAAGGAAACGGGTTGGTTTTCCATGGTGCTTACAGTGCCAGCATACTGGGCTGCCCAACATACAGGGTGAGGAAGCCTTCTGTAGGCTGAGTAACACAGGGGTCCTTTTGGAGGAAGCAGATTATGTATAGCAGGGGGGACATGTCAAGGTGGAAGGGGCAAAAATGTCATTCCATCTTTTTTAAAAGTAGGGACAGTTACTTCCGTGGTGTCCTAGAGGTTAAATCTCAGCATTATCACTGCTGTGGCCTGAGCTCAATCCCCTCCAAGAAGCTCACCAACATGGCGAAGCAGACCTCTCCTCTCACCCGCTGCTCCCCTTAGCAGTATATTTCAGTAAACCCACCTGTTCTGCTCCCCATTTTTTCTCTGGTGAATTCTTCCACTCCACTACCCCCACCCCACACCTCTGGCCTACACCCCTGTCCTTCTATGCAAAAGTAAATAAATAAATAAAAGTAGGGATAGGTGGGGGAAAAAGTATTCCTTAAAAGTTAATATTAAAAAAGTAAAAACAAAAAATACCTGGGAGACTCTGCAGGCAGAGGAACAAAGTCTCTAATGTGAAGGAAAGAGTTACCCCCAGTGGAGGACCCAGGGATTGTATTTTCTGTGAGTGGAGATGGAAATACCTGAGATGAGGGTCTTTCCTGATGTCCTGCTCCCTTCACCACAGACAGTTCGCCTCTACCCCATGCAATGCTTCTCTGCTATGACGCCCTATCAGTGCCCGCTGGGGAAGACCCGAAGATACATCCGCATATTCTGTACTGGCCTCTTGGGAGTCAACTTTGTCCTGCTGCTCTGCTTGTCCCCTTTACACTGGGTGCAGTTTGTGGTGCTGAAAGAGGAGAAGGTCTTGACAGGACTCTGGACTGTGTGTGACAATGATCTCTGCTGGAATCACACACCAAAGGCATCTTGTGAGTGTTTTCCAAATCTTGGGGCTCCCTCCACTGGTAGATCTTCTCAGAACAGCCCCCTCCATCCCCATAGCTTATCACTCTCCCTTTGTCCTTCCCACCACCCTGCTCCCCTAGTTCACAAGCATGTAACGATAGCTCCTTCAAACAGGGGAATTTGTCTGCGTTTGTCTAGACTACACTTCCTCAATGACCTAAAGGCTACAGCCCCCTGATGATTGGGAATGAATGGCTAGAGTCCTGATGTCTCTCTTGCCTTTGCACTGGAAACTTCCCTCAGACAAAGATATATTAGTAAAAGTTACTTTATAATATGCTTCTCAAGGTTATAGCTGCTAATTGCTGCTTTTCTCTCACTATGGAACAAATAATTTCTTTCCTGTTGTAGGAATCCCATATAGCATTGAGGAGATGGGAAGAGGGTCCTTACTGGTGCCTGTGGAGCCACCCACAAGTCGGCTCCTTACGCTTACTAATTTCATTACATGTAGGACACGCCCTGGTTCTGTCCTCCTTTGTCGTTTACTCCCTTCCCTAGACCCTGTCCAGCCTTCTTCAAGGGCAGGTGACCTCCACTCCAGCCATGCCTTTCTTTTTCCCCTTCCCTGGCAGACTACTTCTACCTCGCCAGGATCTTATTCCTCATCTCTGCCCTCGTCATCTTCATTATTCTTCTACGGCTCATCACCTCTTTCACCAAAGAGACAGGAGACAAGATCTACATAGATCTGGGCATATCCATCTCCAGTTTCATCTCAGGTACAACATAATGAGGTTGGAAAAGTTGGTCCCTGGTGTCCTTGCATTTCTTTCTCTTCCTGTGCCATTTCCTCTCTTTTTACCTAGGCATTCCTAGCTTCGCATGAATCCTGCATTCATGGCATTTACTTGTTTCTTCCCAAAAGAAGGAATGTTTTGATAAACTTTCACTCCTTACTGAACTCTTGCTTCTTATAGTGGGAATCCCAAAGAGGTCATGCTTAACTTAATGGGAACAATGGGCCTCCCTGGTGGCGCAGCGGTTGAGCGCCGGGTTGTGGCCGGTTTGATCCCCGGAGGGTCCCACATGGCGTGGCAGACCTCTCCTGCCGCCCGCTGCTCCCCTCAGCAGTGTACTTCGGTCCTTCTGCCTGCTCTGCTCCCTGCTCTAGCTCTGGTGAATTCTCTCACCCTCCCGCGCTTCTGACTGTACCCAGTGCTTGTATCAATCAATCAATCAATCAATCAATTTAAAAAAAAAAACTTAATGGGAACAACTCTAGGAATCATTATCTGATAGACTAGTGGGGGTGATATTTAGGCTGGAGTCCCTTCTGGTAGCCAGAAAATTGCTCTGTAGCCATTTAGCTACCTGTTCTGTCTGTGTTATCTATATATAGGCTCCACTTTGACAACATTATTCGGGTCAAAATACAAGTCCTTTGCTCTCCCATGGTGGTTAATTGCAAAATAGGTCTTCCCACGACCACTTCAATGTAACAGGCCTCAATGGCAGTAACTGAGGTGGCTGAGAGTGCTGACCTACAGGGAGGGAGGAGGAGGTCATGGGAGGGAAAGCGGAAGGAGGGGTATGATGGCTAGTGATAGCTTTCATTCTAATCCCAGGTATCTGCCTACTCCTCTGCCTCGTTTTGTTCCTCATACAAGTGAAATTGTACAGCAGGAATATCTTGGAGTTCCAGTTCCTGTTAGTCTACTACCTCAATTGGTGCGGCAGTGTCTTCTACATGACAGTAGGTGAGTTAATGTTCCTGTGAAATAATGAAAGCACAGAAAAGGCAACTTTACATGACTGGGCTGGTCCTTCTCTTTTTCGCCTTCCCTCCTCCGCCCCTTCCTTTCTTCCTTTGGTTATTTGTTTGGCATATTAAAATCTCACATTTGGAAGGACTCTACAAGTGTTATTTTTGTGTCAATGACCAATCTTTAGTAGAAGGGGTTTCCAATGCATTTAAAACATTTTTTTTTCTATTAGGATACCTGACTCTGTACAGACAGGAGCAAGATTCAGGAAGTAGAGGAAGAAGGCAAAGACATAACTGAGCTGTTGATAGTGCCATCCTTCCAGAAGATAGTTCTTAAATTCTCCTCTTCTTTCATTCATATCAAATAATCTCATCACCTTTATGGATCTCCAAAATAGAGGGGTTTTTTTTGTTTGTTTGTTTTTTTAAAGATTTATTTTTATTTAATTTAATTTATTTATTTATACAAGCACTGGGCACAGTCAGAAGTGCAGGAGGGCGAGAGAATTCACCAGAGCCAGAGCGGGGAGCAGAGCAGGCAGAAGGACCAAAGTACACTGCTGAGGGGAGCAGCGGGTGGCAGGAAAGGTCTGCGCGCCATGTGGGACCCTCCTCCGGTGGCTGGGGAGCAGCCGGGGATCGAACTGGCGCTGCAGAGGCTGCAGGCAGCTTGGCAACCCAGCGCTCAACCGCTGCGCCACCAGGGAGGCCCCAAAATAGAGTTTTGACATTTACTCCTCTATAATATTACAAACACAAAGCAGAGCAATAACATAGGAATTTTGCCAGTATGACACTTCTCATTTACTCCTTCTATGGGCTTACTTATTCTTACCAAGTAATGAATTACAATAGTGGTCTGCAAACCATTGCATCATACACCCTCTTAGCATTTTTTTTAGTAAGCATGCCCAATAGACATTTACTTGTAAAGTGTATACATGCATTACATCATCAATATATTCATTACATTGTGAAACATACTCAAAATAAAATTTTAAATATGATTTGTTAAAAATATACAAAGAAACTACTATTTACTTCTTGTGCCTGAATAAGTTGGCTTGTATATCTTCAGGGAAACACTGTACTACAGAAAATTTGAGATATTAATCAACCCCTAAAGATAAGAAATGTATCTTAACTAAATTCCATTATAATTAAGCCAATGGTACTCTTCTGGGGTGTTTGATGACCATAGTTTATCTATTAATCTGCAACTCTGATCCTGGCATTTTCTTTTTCTCCAGGGTTCCTTTCTGGATTCAGTCACATAAGTTAATCAGGTTTCTCCACCACATCAAAATCTCCTCATGATCCCTATGACAAGGACAAGGATGGATAACATAGATTCAGAAGAAGTGGGCTTAAATGAGACCAATGGAGGCTATTTCCCATGGATGAACCAGACACCAGAAAAGCAGTCCAGTGTGGCAGCACAACTGAGGACCCAGATAGAGGCAGGGACCCAGACAGAGCTAAAGACTCAAACAGGGGCGAAGACTCCAAAAGTGCTAGAAACTCAGACTGAACCAGAGGCCCAGACAGAGTCAGAGATAGGGAGTGAATCAGTGGTAGTAGGGTTAATAGCTCATGCAAGTTTAGCTACAGAAATAGAAGGAATAGACATAGTAGAGCCAAGGCCTGAGGCAGAGATAACACGAGGGGATGTGACTGGTGGTCCATCAACCAGTAGGCATGAGGGGAATCAAAGAAGGTGATGGAAGACAGGGCTGAAGGGCTGATGAGGTCAACGCTTCAGTTCAGGAAAATGAATGAAAAGACAAAAAAAAAAATCTTAGATATTAGGAAATAGAAGGAAGAAATATTTTTTTAAAAGTCTAGCAGAAAGGTTTCAGGGTTGAAGGTAATTCAGAGATAACACTATAATGACTATTGAACACTCCCTAGATCACCCCTTGTACATTGAACAATTCACTATTATGGGTAAAAGAAAGTCATTGTATGGTTTAGGTCAAAGATATCAACAACATAGAAATCACAATGAAAGTGGTGAAAATCTTATTAAAGGGAGTTTACATGTTGGTGTCGTGTACTGTGACTGGGAAAGGCTGCCAATAGATGGATTATCCAGGTCACGAAATCTCTCCAGATTCCTATAGCTACACAATGGAACATCTCAGCAAAACACAAAGCACATTCAGTTTGGAAATTCAAACTCATTTTTGGTCCTTACTAGGCTGACTTTTGGCAAACATCCAACTTTCTTGGGCCTGTGGTCTTTCATTGACCAGCTAGACTATGCAATCTCCTCTGTTTATGCCCTTAAATGATAAAAGAGAACTTATTCCTGTTGATCCTTTTGGTCCCAGGTTATTTTAATAGGTACCTCATTCTAGTTAAAATAATTAAATTCATTCTATATCTCCAAAGCTACTTTGGGCAAATCACTTTTTATTTTTATTTAGATATCGCATAAAAATTCAGAATTTTTAAACTGTTCTCAACTATTTGCAAGAACTGGGAGGAAGGGGCCTCCCCTGGTGGCGCAGAGGTTGAGCGCTGGGCTGCGAAGTTGCCCGCAGCCTCTGCAGCTCTGGTTCAATCCCCGGCCCCTGGTGAGGGTCCCACATGGCACGTGGGCCTTTCCTGCTGTGCCCGCTGTTCCCCTCAGCAGTGTATTCTGCCTGTTCTGCTCCCCGCTCTGGCTCTGGTGAATTCTCTCACCCTCCCGCGCTTCTGACTGTACCCAGTGCTTGAATAAATAAATAAAAAAATCTCAAAAAAAAAAAAAAAGAACTGGGAGGAAGAAAAAAGGTAAAGGTAAAGGGACCCAGACTCTCTGAGACACAGTGTACCATCTAGATTCAGAGAATTTCAGTGAGGCCTTAGATGGCATCACCTAAGAGACTGTGGCCTTTGAAACCAGAAGCTCTTTTTCAGTTGGAAATATTAGCAGTTCATTATGAAAACCAGCTCCCAACATGTTAACTAGTCACTATTTGATTATTGCTGCCCAGGTGTATTTCTTCATAGTCAAATTATCTGGCCCTTAATTTTATTGTCTTTATAACTGTCTTCCACAAATGACATCCCCTTTCCACATATTTTACTTTTGGGAACATTAGATAAGGAACCAGGAGAGAGTAGAGATGAATAAGGCAGGAAGTATTACAAGATAGTCCTCCCCATAAATACAAATTAACAGATAATTTGCTTTAAAGTGCAAATTCTCTAAGAGTTAAAACTTCAATCATATCTTACATTTGATTACTTAAATCAATCATATAGTTACATAACTAAATACTACTAATCCGATGCTTTGACAGTTGGGAAAGAAGAAACTGCAAAAGAGAGTCTTTAATCCCGCTATGAATTAAGTGTATTTATTTGCTACCCTCTTCATTCTTTTGAAAACCTTTTAATTACTACCATACTTATTTTGGCATTTTCTATCTTCCTCTTTTTCAGAGAAGTCAATTGTAAAGGGGGAATTTTAAGAATTACCAACTAGACACATCTATTGCAGAAGTATAAGAAAATACAGGAATAACAAGGGAAAAATCCCTTTACTAAAATGTGATGGCTGTAAATTCTGTAAACTTATTAATCACTGAATTGTGCACTTAAAATGAATGAATCTTACAACAGGCAGGTTGAACCTTAATAGAGTTTTAAAAATACCATTAATTCACTCATACAAATGCACATCTACACCATAGTAGGATTCTCTAACACTGCTTTATAACTGCCATTCCCCACCCCTTTAACCACATATCATGACCATCTTCCCAGATCAATTCATATTTTCTCCACAATATCATTTTAAATGGCAGCATAGTTTTAAAATTTTAAATTATAATGTACTTAACTAGTGAATTCCTTAATCATTTTGCAGGTAGTTTTACATACAAATTTCCCTAGATTGTTACTAGAAGAATTATGGTGTGATCATTTTAAGATATTTTTCTTACAAATTATCCTCTTTGAAAGTTGTACCAATTAGGGCTCCTACATTTTATGATTCTACCCCTGTTTCTCTCCCATCAAAATCAGTATTAGCATTTTATATCACTACCATTTGAAAGGTGAAAATGGAATCATTAATTTGTATTTCAATTTCATTCATTTGTTGGACATTTATACTTTCTCCCTAAACACACTAGTATATATGTTTCTTGTTCTTATGAGATTTTTATACATTAAAGATAAATATTCTGTCATATATGCTGCAAATATTTTTCCCAATTCATCTTTGTCATTTATGTATATTTTTGTGGATGGAAGCTTTAAATTATATAGTCACATCTATTAATCTTTTTCCTTATAGATATTGTACGATCCTTGGTAAGACTTTCCCTGTTACTTAAATTTTTAAAGATATATTTATTTATGTATACAAGAGCTGGGGTACAGGCCAGAGGTGTGGGGGGTGAGAGGATTCACCAGAGACAGAGTGGGGAGTAGAACAAACAGATTGACCAAAGTACACTGCTGAGGGGAGCAGCGGGCAAGACAGGAGAGGTCTGCTGTGCCATGTGGGTAGCTCCCTGGCCGGCCAGGGCTGGAACTTTTGCTGCAGAGGCTGCTGAAAGCTTCATAGGTTGTGTCTTAACCCCCTGCATGATCAGGGAAGCCCCCTATACTTAAATTTTTATCTAGATTTTATTTTGATATACCACACAAAGTAGGAATCTAACGTGGTTGAAAGAATGAATTATGGGCGGAACAAAGTAAGTCAGATCTTTAGCTTATTTACCATATGCCTTCTCAGTATTGAAAACTGTCATATATATGTAAATTATAGGAACAAACACAACAGGAATAATCTCTGCCCTTGTGTAACTTCTCAACTCAGAGGAAAGACATTATACAAGTTTGATGAATGTTATAAAGGTAGTATATAGTAGGTATAGTCTAACTAATTATTCTGGCACCTTTTGAGCAGTTGATCATTTAAAAGGAGATATTGTTGGGGTGAAGGAGAATTCAATTAACAACAAAAATCTGTTACCTCAAAGTAGCTATGGGTGAGAATCTGGGTAGATTCAAATGGATCTCTGTCTCAGAATCTCTCACAAGGAGGCGAAAAAGGTGCTGAGCAGGGAGCTAATCTTACATGAGTACTAGACAGCAAGATCTACTTCCATGCTCACTCATCATTGGCAAGCTTTAGCTCCTCATAGGCTTTTGAATGAAGATTTTCATTTCCTTACTGAGAATTTAGTTTCTCATAGGCTGTTGACTGAAAACCAACCTCAGTTCCTCTGTGTGTAAGTCAGGAGAATTCAATTTTGTCCTGGGGTCAGTACTTAAGCTTTGAAGAAATGATTTATAAATGAATATCAATATGAAGTAAAAAAAATAGCATAGCATTTTTATTCTTAATTTTGGATTGAGGACTAAAATAAAAATGTGTACACTGAATTTTCTGGTTGGTATACCCTTCTGACCTGTATATATATCAAGTGAGTGATTTAACCATTCACAGAGAATTAATTATGTATTGCAGAGGACAAACACATAATTCTGTACAGGATAAGAATGTCAGGATGTAGTAACCACGCCTGAGGGGAGAAAACCTAATTGTGAAAAAATAAACAAGGATGTAAAATGATACATCATAAATAATAAACAAATAAACATTGAGGAAGTTTAAGATGGTTAGAGTGAGCTGAAATTGAAATAATTTATATGCTTGAGTTTCTCTTTCAACCACATTCATGGTTATAGCTTCAAATGATTTTCTACTCTCTCCTTCCTATCACAGACTATATTGTCAATATACACCCCAAGACTTGCAGAGTGTATCAGCCCTGAGTTCAGCTAACATGTGTATACCCAATTATTTTATATTTTCATCGAATAGTGTGGCTTTTATTTTTAACTCAAGATATTTAATTTTTAATTATATTTAATTTTACATATTTACCAAAATTCTGAAACTAGAATTTGACAACCAATTATAGACTTTGAAAGTGATACCCTTAGTCTAGTGCTTATATTCTCAACATGGGCAATATTGCTTTCAAGAAGGAAAAAGTTGTTTTCTGTTTGTGTGTGTGTGTAAAAAACGTGCTATATTTAGGTATAAAAAAATACATCTTTTTAGGGCGCCTCCCTGGTGGCGCAAGGGGTTAAGTCTCAGCACTATGAAGCTATTCACAGCCACTGCAGCACAAGAAAATGTAGCTTGTTTTATATTTTCAATAATATTTAATACTGTTTTATGAATAATTATATCAAGTAAATAAATACTTAATTGAATGAATATGAAACATATTTACTCTCCTTGAACCCATCCTATTGCCCCATATAATCCAAATGCATGAATTAATTTAGTGAAGAAAGTAGTATGACATGGTCTCTCTCACAAAAAAATCCTAGGAAAATAATGGATAAGCTTTATTAGAAGAATGAAAAATCTTCAACATAGCAAGCAAAAGAAGCACAAACTCAAAACAGAGATGAATTACGGCTTTGTTTTCTAGCTCTACCATTTGGAAATTGTGGAATCTTTAGGCAAGATACCTAAAGAGGAATGAGAAAGAAGATAGATTTTATTTTTTTTAAAGAATAGATAAAGGGAAAGAAATGTAGGGAGAGTATAGAAAGGTTACAAAGGTATTTGTAAGTGCTATATACAGCTTAAATTTCAGGTGTACTGACCTGCTGGCAGTTTCCCAAAAAGATCATGGCTCAAATATGCCACATTCTTTCACATTTACATGCACATGCAGAGACTCCTTCTTTTCAGAATAGCATTCCTCGCCGCCTCCCCCATACTCAGGGCCACACTTCCCCTAAGGAGCTCTCCATGACACACTTGTCTGCCTCCCACACCGAGATGCCCATCTTCTTGTTCCTCCAAAATTCAGATCATACTTCATTATAGTAATTGTATTATAATTAATGGCGTACATGTCTATTTCTTTCAAAAACATATAACCCATATATGAAGCTTATTATAGCTCACAAAAAATGTGCCTACATATGAATTTGCTTTATGTATGAAAATACATAAGATCAGTAACTATGATATAAATGTTTGGGACCATCCATTTAGATACAATGGATGACTTAATTATTTTATCGACCTTTGAAAAGATTTAAAATGGGAACTCTGTTCGGTGCTTCAGCATTCAAAAGTCAAACCATGCATACAACATGTTGAATTACCCTTTCATGAAAGCAAAATATGAATCAGCTTATAAAGAATTCTGGACAAGAAGTCATGCACCACAAGCCCTCCATTATTACTTTGCTGATGATGTCTGTGAGGGTATATTTGCATAGATAGAATAGAAAAACCAGTTCTTGCCACATTGCAAAATAACTGTGAGGAGTGTCATCTGGTTCCTGGAGCTGGAAAAGGTGACTATGCCTTTTAAAATGTGGTAATGTCTCCCACAAAACAAATGAAAAATATAAACCCA